AGGGTAGGGGACTGCGAGTCCCGTGCTGAGCAGCATCCCATCATCGCTGCAGGAAACCCTGCCTTGAAATAATATCGTGAAGAAACCATTTTCCCCCGATTTCTGTTCCTCTTTGGCCAGCAGCGGGGTTGATGCCATTGAGGAGGAAAGGGAGCGTGTGATTGTGAGGGCAAGGCAGGGTGAAAGGCAAGAAATGAGGTAGGAAAAACCATCTCGTTAAAAGGACAGGTGAGAAAAAACTCTTTTCCATGGCAGAAACACCCCGATGTGTTACAGGGGCTGATGCGGGAGCTCGTCACGGTCCCCCGGGCAGCAGGGTGAGGGAGAGGGTGAGATGAGAAGAGGGAGCGGTGATATCCCGATGATATCGGCCCAGTTTGCACTTCGCTCCTCGTTTATTTATTCTTGTAACTGAAATACCTGCCGGGGGCAAGGGGGAAGGAGGCGACTGAAACGTGCAGACACAAAGGACGGTGAACTCCAGCTGCCTCTCCAAACCCAAACATATTTTATCAGCCTTTGCCAAACCCTCCCCACCGTGAGCCTGACCCTCAGCAGCTTTTGCAAACTTCAAGTCCCTCCAAAGAAAGTGCCATCAGCAGCGAAAACAGCTCAGCATCCAGCGGGCGGGAGGAGGGGGCAACCACTTGGTTTCCTCCCTGACCTTTTTGAAAGCCCCCAATTCCTCTAATACATTGCAGACAATTTTCTGGGCTTCTCCAGAATCTCACTGATTTTTTAGGAAGTGCAAAGTCTGGCAGGTTTTGGTTTTTTGTTTTTTTTTTTTTTAAAATAAGTGTATAAATACCCCTCGGTCAGCCCAGAGGAATAATTTTCTCCGTTGCAAGAGCATGTCGTTAATGCACTAACAAGAATTTGGGCAGCTGCTGCCTGACTTTTGCAACCTCCCTCCCAGGGTAGGGAGAACTATTTGTGCCCATGTCCCAGGTTGGTAAACCGAGGCCGTGCTGGAAATTGCTGTGGGTCAAGCTGCCTCGCCGTTAACCAAGCACACGTATGGCTGCATCTATATGGTGATGTATGCACCGTCTCCAAATTTTAACCGGGCAAAGCGTTGCCGGGTGCAGGGTTGGACCGCACGACTTGGATCCCACCGGGCATCACGCACACTGCACCCTGTCCCCTCCATGCCACATCCGAAGGAGACGGTCCGTGTTGCACCGAACGCAGGCATGAATGTGACTTGTCCTTTTCTTCCAAGTTTCCTTGGGGGGGGGAGAAAAAAAAAAGAAAAAGAAAAAAGAGGAGGATGAATCATGTCTTAGTCAGAGTTGGGGCTCGCCGGAGCAATCACTGCCGTTGCCTGCGTTTTGATGCTGGGGGAAGGGTGCCAGGGGAGGCTGGCTGGTGGTTCCTTGATACCGGTAGGTTCTTCCAAAGGGGATGAGAAATTTAGTCCAGGGTTGTGATTTTTGGGCCATATCCAGAGCCTAATTCCACTGGTCAGGGCAGGTTGCTAGGTCAGTTCGGTGAGAAATAAAAGAAGGACTTGAGGTTTGGCTTTGGTGTTTTGGAGAAGTCCGCAGCCTGTAAACCCCGTCAGAGACGGGTTTCCCGTTCTCACAGAAACGGGGTTTTTCCACCCTTTTCTGCCAGACTCCCCTCTTTTGCGCTGCCCTCCCCTCTCCTATTCCTCTAGACCTGCTGCCTCCATCCCTCGGATGCTCGAGGTCATTTTTTCCCCCCATCTACCACCAGGACCTTCAGATTTCGAGCCCTGACGTTCCATTGATACCCCTGTCCCTCTACATTTATTAAATCCCCGCAGGTTGCTGCGACGGGGTAGGTAAGGCAGCACCTCTGGCGAACGGTGGGTGATTTATTCCTCCCTCCGCATCTTTCGTCACCCGGAGAAGCAGAGGACGTGGGACAGCATCGCTGGCCATCCCATGGGGGCTCTGGGCAAGCCGACGCACCTCTTACTGACATTTGGCCCCGTCGGTGACTTGGATTTCTCGAAAAATCGCTGAGCTAAGCACCCCGTGGGCTCCTTCCACAGCAGCTGTGAGCAACAGCTTATTTACCCGTCCCGGCTCTATTTATAGGGAGTTGTGCTTTTGCACAGCACGACTCGAGAGGGGAAAATAAATCCTCTCCGTGCACCTAGTGCCGTCCTGCCCGCCACCCTATCCCCGCGGTGAAAGCGCTTTATAAATAGTAACGATGCTTCTTCTTCCAGCTGACCTCGCTTGGAGCAGCTGGGTGCTCGTGCCTTTGAAAACCAGGCCATTTATTTAGGAGTTGAAGCTTTCCGCTCCAGTTATTTAGGAGTTTTTAAGCCAAGAATTACTAGGTGGATCTAATTTAAAGTGACTGTGATTTTAATTCAGGCGGGGTTTTGCTTTCGGGCTCCTTTCGATATTGTGGGGGTGGTGATTTTGGAAGCGGAGAAGAGCCATGGAAAGGAGAGCTGAGCGGCTGGAGGAAGGGGGATGCCCAAATTCCTTGTCCTGTAACATCACGTGAATTTTCTTCCTTCTTCTGACTTGAAGCTGGGAACCAAATTTTTGTTGCCTTCCATGGGAAAAAGTCTGGGATTTTGGAATAATAATAAAAAAAATCCTCCTGCCCTTTCCTGAGGATGGATTTTGTGTATGGTGGTCCAGGGAGTGAAGTTGGGTCTGACCCCCATCCCCACCTTTGCCAGCCAGACCGCTCGCTGCTCTCCCCCCCCGCCCCATCTTCCATCCCACATCCCAAATCTCTGGCTCTTCTCCAGCTCCCTCATAGTAGCTATTTTTTTTTAATTTTTTTTCTTGCCTGTGAATATTTTTTTCCTGCGTAGGAGAGGGAACGATTGTGCTTTTTTTTTTTTACTCCATCCATCTTGGCTCCATGTAAGGCGACAGCCAAAAATATGTTCTTTCTAGATCTGTGATAAAAATATAAGGAGGAAAATGCCCTATATAATCAAAGAAAGCTGCTGAACGCTTGAAGTAAAAAGGCTCTTAAATGCTTTTAAGTATCCAAGATGCTACTTACGGGGCTTTAAATTTTCAAGCAAAATTTGCTTTATGAAACCCCATCGAAGCAGATGCTTCCACCTCTACAACTCTTCCCAGAGATGATCTATTTCCACGTTTCCCCACCATAGCACGTTCGTCACCCAGCAGCACCCAGTGCCAAGTGGGACCCTCCCCATCACCGGGGCTGGGGGTGGGGGGGGAGCACCTGCCCATTTGGGGCTTCGGCATCTCCGAAGCAGTTTTCCGGGTGGCCCCTGGATGATGTCCCCGACCCCCCTTGCGCTGCAAACGCCAACTGCTTTGGGTTGTTATTATTGCTGGGCTCCTGTTCCGCTGCTTAATTTAAGATGGAAAGGTGAGGGAAGCTGGCCACTGGGTTAAGAACAGTGATAATAGGGGTAATAAACTAATAGAGTAATGGAAATGATTAAATAATCAGAGGGATTAAGTAATAAAACATTTTAAAGAAGTAATAAGTATTAGAAATAGTAAATAATACAATAATGGGGTAAAATTAATAAACAGGAAAATATTGGAATAATAAAGAATTTCACTAAAAAAATATTAAAATGGCAAAACCAATAGAAATCATGAAAATAAAAAACAACAAATAACGAGACAATGGAAGTAACGAAAGCTGAAACAACAGAAAAAATCAATAACAAAAAGAATACAAAATTTAAAAAAAAAAATACAAAATTTAAAAGAAAAAACCCA